CGGCCAGAGCCCGGGTCCATTTCTGGCTTCTACAGTAAAACCAGGCAGAGACTTGTCTTCTAACCTTCCCCTGGGTTGACCTAGCTCGACAAATTCCCAATGAAACATCTAATTCTATTACTGCAATTGTTATTTCACATTTTGGATCAATCACTTGCTGTTACCCGGTCTAACAAATCTTCCTGGATGTAAAATTTTAGCTTTACAGCCAGATGCATATCTTTGACTTTTAAACTCGTTCCATTTCACTCACCTCATATCGCAAAACATTCTCTCCATTCGGCATTGTTTTTCCGATCAAACAATACGATCCAAAAGCAGCGATCGCCAAACAAGAAAGCGTTGCGGTTGGGCCTAAATTCTGATTTGTTGACAGTATGTGATCCATTTTAATTCAATGATATTCAATGATATTATATCTCACAACCTCGATGATTTGGCCTCAACTTATGGTAGACTCGAGTGTAGTAGACATATTGAGATGCGACGAGAATGTCCTGAAAGAAAGCGGCATTTGAGGAGTTCACTAGTACTCGTTTAACTTGAAGAAATAAATTGATAGTTTTGGACTCAATAATGAAAGCATTTTGCATCAATTTTGTACATTTTAGAGTACTAAAAGAAACGAATTCTGTACAGACTTTGACTCTAGTTTTAATTTTGTAAACCTGAACGACGTAAACGATTCCGACAGCCTGCTGGATGGCTTGTTGATTGGTGAGAATCGCGCCCACAGCATTACATGTGTCACCGAAAATCCTGAAATGGTGAGTTTACAAAACTTTACAAAATTGAGTCTTTATTTCACTTAATTTGTTCCGTATTTATTCTAATAAAAGGAATAACTAAAGATATTGAGCTTCGTAGACTGAATACCCTTAGTTTTGAGGCTTTAAAGCTATATAAGCATTTCCTTGAGAATCGATAATATGGAGTTCTTGATTAAAGACGTCATTGAGCAAAACAAAGTGCTACAAGAAACGTGAGAACTTGAAACTATGATTTTAAAAGTTTAAAGATATACCGTTTTTTATTCTAATAGAAGCACAGCCTCTAATAGAAGCAATAACTATAGATATTCAGCTTAGTAGACTGAATAACCTTAGTTTTGAGTCTTTAAAGCTATATAACCATTTCCTAGAGAAAAATTGAATTCTTGGGAGTGAGACAAATGCGACCTTTTTTTTGCGCACCCGGACATTTGCGCACCTTTTTTTCCGCACTTAGCCCTTTAGCGCACCATTTTTCGCGTTTTAAAAAAGCTCTAAAAGCTAATATTAACCAATTTCTATTCCAAGTTGTTTCCTAGGGTAATTTTAGGGTGTCGAATTCAAATTTTGGCATATCAGAGCTTGTAGAGCGAACGGAGAGTTATACAAAGAGAAAAATCAACAATGGCTAAGTGCGGAAAAAAAGGTGCGCAAATGTCCGGGTGCGCAAAAAAAGGTAGCATTTATCCCACTCCCGAATTCTTTATCATTTCTTTTGCATAAGCATTGGCAATTTTGATAAGTTTTTCTTGCAATTAGGTAGTGAACTTGTTTGAATCAAATTAACAAATCAAATAACTTAAAATATTGGGTTGATGCATAATTATCCGGACTTCTTTTATAAATGATTTTATTTAACAAAAAATAACATAAATAGTTAGAAAAATATGTTTAATTGATTATTCTGGAGCATATTCACCGCCTACATCAATAACTGATTGCCATTTGCTTGGAAGACGATCGATTCCACGAGCGAAGAATAAACGATCTTTGGAGGCAATCCACGCTTTAACATCGTCTATCAAGTCATCCAAATCGTTGTAGATCTTATTTGTTTGCCAATTTTTGAGCGATCGATTGACGTGGTAGTCCGTTGGGGCTTCTCCAGTTCTTTGAGATCGCGAAACGACTCTGCGGCAGACCATCCCTTTTCGAAGTGGTAGAGCATGATATGGCGAAGATGGATATGATTGTCGACACGCATTTTGTTCACTAAAGAATAACGAATATTTAAAAAAAAAGAAATAGACAAAAAGCTTTCAAAACAAAAAAGATACAAGCACGCAAAAAGAAGTCCGGATAATTATGCATCAACCCAATAGTTATTTAAACAGCTTAAGCTTAAGCTGAAGTTAACTTATATAAAATTCTAAAACTTTAAACATTTTAATGTTTTATATTTTAATATCCAATCCTTTAGCAAAGAATCTTTCTTGCTTTTTGTTAGTTTTTTTTTTTCTTAGACGTACTGCTTAAAAATGTACTGCTTAGATGTACTGCTTAGATGTACTGCATGTACTGCTTAAAAATCATTGCTAAAGTTCATTATTGCTTAATCAGTAGCTTTCCTTGCATGTTCTTGCGTTGACTACAATAGTGACATCTCGATTAAAGTCAGCGAATCTAACGCTATCGAGAATAATGCTTTTTTTTGAATATAATTGTTTTAAATTGGTTGTTACCTAAAGGTTTTCTTTCTACGAAATCACAAAATTTTTTTTAGTCATTAAAAATAGAAGAAATTTTGTGGAATGATTGAAAAATAGAAAGAAGCGCATGCGTTTCTTTTAGAATAAATACGGTATTCATTTTGAAAAACTTACCAAGAAAGGAGAAAAGCCAACGAAATGCCAGCACACGATTTATTCTTATAGTTTGCTCGAAACTGTGGGATCATCGGCATCATCCATAGAACGAGTGACACTAAACCAATCGCGAAAGCCACCAACTTCAACTCGTTGTCCACACAGTCACCGAAAATCTAGAAGAATCATTTTGCGCAAGTTTTATAAACTCAATAAATTATAATGATCTAGCTACTTATTCTATAAACTCTTTGAAAAGAAGAATTTCTGAAGAATAGATTTTTCTTTTCAATGAGTTCATGTTTTAATAATTTGTTAGCCTCTTGCTTTCATTCTAGAATAGTTCTAGAATCAATTTTTGATTGTTATCTAAGTTAGGCCAAGAATAGGTGCAAGAATATCCGTTTCTTTGTCCCAAATCAGAGCTAAATACAACATTTCCCCAATATTTGAACTCTTATACAGAGCTATGTCAAGGAAGATAAGCATTTAATCTTTTTGATCATGGGATCTAATGGAAAAGGGGTCTTTTTTTTGTTCTAGAGTCCTGTCTGTCCTAGTTCTAATTGTTCTAGAGTTTCATTTTCTTTTTTAAACAAACCCTATGAATCCATTGAATTCCATGGGTGCAATTCTTGTCCTCGGAGCCGGTGAGTGGTCCGAGATCGCGCATTACACCCCTAAAAAATATGAAAATATCGTTTAAAATTTCATTTATAATTTTACTATCAAAATTTAGATATAAAGCTATTCGAAATTTATCGAAATCAGCTAAAAGCAGCTAAATCCGTTTCTTTGTCCCCAATCAGAGCTAAATACAACATTTCTCCAATATTTGAACTCTTATACAGAGCTATGTCAAGGAAGATCTAATTTAGATATAAAGCTATTCGAAATTTACCAAAATCAGCTTAAAACAGTTAAAAAAATGGCGAAAAATTGAGCTAAAAAACCTCAAGAATCAATTTGACCCGAGACACGCAAAAACAAAGCGCTTATCACCCCGATTCGAAGTGATTTTTGGAAGAAATGAAGGCGAAGAAAAAAAAATAGTGTTCTAAGAATAGAAATCTCAATTTGCAAAACCCTCAATTTTCTTCAGTAAATTGAAATTGTGAGAAATTGTGAGAATTTTCGATAAAATTAAAATTAAAGACTTACAATTTCACCCCAACAACGCCTTTCATTCTTTTGAAGTTTATGAGGGGGAAATTTGCACAGAAATTCACGAATTCCCCCCGAATTTTGTTGAATTTCTCCAACAGATGACTCGATAAACGAGAATTCGCAATTTTCCTTTGACAAAATCAATTTTTTGAAATCAAACTTTTTTTCGTTTTTTTTTTCTATAACTTTCAATGAATCTGTTCAAATATCTATTGACCGGGTGAAAGGGGAAAAAAAATAGCAATTCTATAGAGAAAATGCAATAAAATGAGGGTGACGAGCTTTGTGCGAAAATTTAACGCTTTTTAATAAAAGTTTAACAATGTCAGACGGATAAAAATTTGTTTAGCTGATGGGGAAAATATTTGCGCTTTTGAAAGCAAAAACATGGCTATGCCAAGCTTGTATGTCTATAGATTTCTCGTGTTTTCTTGCGAAATTGAAACTCTTGAACTTTATGGAGGGGAAATTTTGATGAATGTTTATCAAAAGTTCACCAAATTCACATTTTAGAATCATTTAGGAGTACGGTAAGAGCGCCAGATTTGCAAATGAGTTTTATGTCAATTAACAGGGTTGCAATCTGCAGGCAAAGGTCTTTGCATACCCAAAAGATCTCGTAACTTACATTTCGACCAGCATTTTTACAGACAAATCTAGGAAAGACTTAAAATAGAATAGATCTTCAGTGAATATCTTGATCTTTTACAGGAGAAAACTCTTGACCAAAGCGAAAATCAATTCGCGAAGGTCATTTTCAATTTACAAGAAAAAAGGGCAAAAAAAATGAAAGGATAGAGTAGAGTTCATGGAAAAACAAAAATGAACTGATCGACATGTGATTGAAAAGAAAAGATGAGAAAATTGGAAACAAAGAGAGATGGATCATCGACGTAGAATATTTCTCTCTCTTTTCTTTCTCAGCTGACACCCCAACCCAACGCCGCCGTCCTTTCTGCTTTCCCAATACACACCCCAAGACAATCGATATTCAGTCTACCTCTCTGTCCTTTTCCCGCCTCTATCCTAACTCTCTTTAGTCTTTTTCTCAGATCAATTCGATGACAAATTGTTTACAAAGTGATCTTCGAACTGAAAGAAATCAAAAACAAAGTGTACAATGTTTACTTTTCATAGATAGAACGATAAATTCATGCTATAGATTATCGTATTTTTATATAACTTTTTATTTAAGCCCATAAAAACACTCCTAAAACAAAAAAAAACAATTTAAAGCAAAAAAAATATGTACAAATCATAAAATATTAGGCACTCTTGGACGTCGAATATCAGATGTCGATTTTCGACCGCCACTTTTTGCCACCTGAAAACAAATACTGATGAAAACATTTGTTATTTCATAAAGTTACCGTATTATTTGAAGTAGAACAATCTTTATTGCACTGTTATTATAATATTTTGAAAAAAAAAAATAAACGCTACTTGATCGAGAACCCGTCCGACTAGCCGCATATCACCCTCATCAGATAAACGAAATTCACACGACTAAATTTAAACAGTTATTCCGATACTTTATAATTGAAATTTACCATATGAAGGTCATCCCCGAAACGTTTATCGATTGTGATGAGCAACTCGACGATTAGATGAACCATGAGAACGCGAGAAGCCTCACCAGTAAGAAGTTTATCCCAGAAACTGAAATGAGCAAATTTTAACAAAATTGGATTCATATACTACAACAGTACCAAAATACCTAAGAACAATAAGCTACTTGTAAAATTCTAAATTAACTAATCTCTAGTAATCTATCATAAAACAAACCGTTGCAAAGCGCGTGGTGTGTGAATGATTTGCGTTCCAGCACCGAGCAACCAATGCCGAATTGGAAGTTTCCCGAAAGTCGCCCGTTCACAAAGACCCGAATTCATTTCAATTTCTTTTGCTAATCGCTCGTGTATCTGAAAAGAACATTAATGCTTTGAAACAACATTTGTTTGACTCTTAGCAAACAATGAAACAAACAACTTTTGCAAAAGCACCCCTTGGTAAGCCTTTTCCGGCCTGCAAGGGATGTGCAGCCATGTCCGAGTGGTTAAGGAGTTTGACTCGAATCATTCCGAGCTATCTAAATGGGCTCGTAGGTAGGTTCCTGCTTTGGAAAAAACTCGGTTTCTCTTAGAAAATTTTTATCAGTCCTTTCCGCTTCCAATTTCAATTTTTGCTTGTTTTGTTATACCTCATTTAGCGTTTTGCGCATCTGGTCCTCATCTCCAAACGTTTTCGCCATGAGCTTGAGTACTCTTCTCGACAAATGAAAAGCATCCGCCCAATTTTCTGGCTCACAAAGAATCAGCATTTGCTCGCATACCTGAATAGGGTGTTATCATAGTTAGAAAAAGCTATGTCAAATGGTCTTTAGCTAAAATTTCAAAAAAGTTTACCGGAATATAATATGGATAGCTCTTCTTCAAGGTTCGCCTCTCATGAATCATCCCATCCGAAAGTAAAATCATCGTCGCAAGATCAATGGCAGATGGTCTGTCCAAAGTCGAGACTAATTGTCCTGGGATATTTTCTTTTTCATTCGTCTCAACAATGGTCGAATCTGAAAAAGATCGAAATGAAAATGGTCGTAAAGTAATTATCAAAAAAGAAAGTAAACGATTAATGAAACAAACACTGACCAGAATCACTCAACTCTCCATCGACAGTGCTCCGGGTGCTGCTTGCTATGTGAAGGATCATTGGAGCTAAATTTTATAGTTCAGTTTATAATATTTTAAACGTCACCTTTCGTCAAAAGCATGCCCAAAAATTATCCGATATTTTAAGGTTAACAACAAAAACCAACCAGAATTTCCACTCGTTTGCTTACGCCGGACCTCCAAGCATTCCAATTCGCGAGTCGTTTTCAAACAGTTGAAAAGCAATTCGGCCTAAAACTTCATAATTTACCGATACGAGAAAATAGTTAGAAATCTACCGAGGTAAAAAAATACTATGCCGCTTTTATCTTCAAGCAGTATTAAAAAACAAAGAATACCTCATGTAGTCTGCTCGCTATTATCCGTTCATCATTTTCACGATATTCAGGCAACACTTGTAACAAGACTTTCCATATTTTACGCCTAAACCTTATGATAATCAAGATTAAATTAACGCCAAGCCTTGACGGTGGCAATAATCGAAACTTCCAAGAGAACTCGCGAAACCGTTCCAGATTGTAATCCTTGCTTGAATCGAACAACTAAAACATAAACGTGAAGACACTTTTTACAAAACACAAAGCTCTTTTTATTTTTAGTTAGTAAGTTTTAGTAGTAGGTACATGATCTATTTATATGTATATCCACTACTGTATTTGTATTGCTTTCTTTTGCTACAAAAGTTGTTGAACAGTACCTTATTCACATCTTGTTGACTTGCTTCCTGTTCAACACCGACACACATGCGCGTCACATATTGTTGGCGAAAATTGTTCATCTTTAAGAAAAATGTAAAATTCGATTGCTGATTTGTTTGTGAAAAGTCAAAACCGCCATAAGATGCAATTTGTTTAAACAAACACTTTAGTGAAATATTTATTCAATCATTTTTCGATTGAAACATAAATTTGTGTGTAAATTGAAAATAAGCAAAACGCAGCAAGTGGTAGTTGAAAGGAAAAAGATAAAGAATGATGAACATCTACAAAAAAAAAAGGATAAGTGCATAATGGATTCGCCGTGGCTTAATTCACTTACAAAAAGGTATGCTCTGAATATGAGAGGAGATTTGTAACAAAAGTGGCGCTTAAACTTACAGCATATAGCCTATACAAAAAATACAATATAAGACAATGAGTGATCAAAAAATGGATTAGGCCCTCGACTATGATGTTTGTTGACGAGTAACACTACGGTTATGTACAAAAGCGAATTCGAAAAAGTTCGAGGAATTGAAGCAGAGTTTGATCACGAATTTCAAACTCGAACTTTTACTTCTTCACTAACCCGGAATTCGGTCGCTGATGAATTCGAAAAGAAAGAGTAAAAGCAATGTGAAAAACTTTCTCAGGCCTTGGGTAACACAATTTTTACGTCTTTACACCGGGACGGAGACTGTAGACAAAAACGAAAAATGATATAGCAGAAGAGCATAACCGATTTTGTCTTTCCAACAAAAAAAAAAAAAAAGCAACTGAGTCACGAAGAATAACGATTTTAAAAGCCAAAGAATCATTCCTAGATTAAGAAATTAATTTGATAATATTTTTACGATCCTCAAGTTTAACAAACAATTACCAGAAGAATATGAAAGTACTATTTAAACGGAGCCGCTTCCAGATGGGGCATCGTGATCTCGAGGTTCGCTTGGACCTTCACCACCTTCTAAAAGAAATTGTTTAAAGTGAGATAAAATATGGAAGCTTGTCAAGTAGTATTAAATTTGTCAATAAACCTATCGAACCTTAACTCTCGAACAATCTTGTATAATTATACCGTTTGATTTTAATCATAAGTTTTTTTAAAAAGCATACTAACAAAATTTACCTGTAGGCGTCTCAATGGCAGTGTTTTCGCCTTCCTTTTGTTCTGCTTCACCCTCGTTTTCACCAAAATTCAACCAAGACTAAAATTACAAATTGGAATTACACAATAAATCACAAAGCGCACCTGTTCAACAATTTGCTGAACTCGTTTCTCGTACTCTCGTCGACTCTCTTGGTAGAGTTGAGCGGCAAGGGAGTTCGCTGGTGAGTTCGGGTTCGGCTCGTCGAGAAGGGATTGAATCGATGTTAAAATGGCCGCAACATCATAGGTTGGAGACCAACGATTCTAAAAACATGAAATTAACAAGAATTATTTCGATCGATCGAGACCTTTGTATTTTTACTCTTGAATTTTTTATAAAAGCTTTATCCTATCCAGAAAACATCCTTACTTGCAAGATGTCCAAACAAATCGAGCCGTCGTTGTAAACATTGGGATGGAACATTTTCGAGATGAACTTCACTGTCGGTGGCTTGTTTGGATATTCCTCTGTGAACTCAAGAGACAGCTTGAGTGCCATCCTAAAGAAAATCCCAATTTTCACAAGGTCAATAAGGGCAAATGGAATAAATTCGAAGTAGCCTTAATTACCTCAAAGGGTGTGTCCTGTGGTCCAAAAATGATCGCTTCCCATGTCAGAATGTTGTTTTCTGTCGGGGCTCCTGCACACGCCAGCTGGAGGGTCCTCCTAAAATTTTAATTTAGTGCCAACTTTAAAAAAAAACTAATATAACAATGAACCACATACCACTATACAGTTAAATCTCCGAGTGCTTTACTTATGAGAATTAGATGGCTTACACGTAATCACGGCTTCAAAACAGAACCAGCCATTCGGTAGATTTTATGTTTTAGTTTTAAAACATCAACCCACTGTCGAGATTGTATTTATTTTTCCAATATAATTTAATCCATGGAGAAAGCTAAGTCTAGTAAATCCTATCTGAGCCGCTCTACTATCTTTTGAACAGATAAAAGCCAACAAACCTGAAGTTTTTGAAATCCCTCATGAGTCGGCGTCTTGATGGAGTCGTCATTTTTCAGTAAATATGAAGCGAAGAAAGAGCGTAAACGGGCAATAACTGAAAATATGACCGGTCAAAGAATTTTGAGCAAGATAAGAAAAAATGAAATGAAAAATAACTTTTCCTTGAAAAACAATCGATTAGTAGCGCCTTAAGATAACGATTTCACAATTTGCGTAAACACTCAGGATCTGGGGATTTCCTGTCCAAAACATGTTCACGTCGAGCAAATTATCCAAAAACAAGCGGCCTAAATTTCTCGCCTAGCAACGCCATGGAATTTCTCTCGGAAATTTCGTGTATCTATCGTGTATCGTGTTTTTGGAGATGAATTCGAAAAAACTAGAGCTCGATTTTTGACCATTCAATGAAACCAGTGCTGCGTAAGATTTTGAAAACCTGAACAAATCGACAGAGAAACAGAAAAGTTCACAAAAACAGAAAATCTCAATCGATGTAACAGGCGCTCTCATTTTCATTTCCAATTCACTGATAGTGCGTAGATTTCTCACGGTAAAAGCCATCCATACTTTCTTGAGGTTACGATCTTTGTCCAACATCAACCCCACTTCCTGACACTTTCTTGTTTACAAAATCGGTTTTGTTTCTGAAACTGTGTTCTTACCCTCTTGATGTATTGATGAATTTCATTCATGATTTCAAACTATCCAGGACGATTTTTATTTATTTTTGACTGATTAAGTATAGCATAGAGGAAAGGAATGCATAAAACTGTTGCTTTCAAAAGCTCTGTAGTAGCTGACTCAGGAGGCATTTTGGTTGGTGTAGTTGGCATGAACGTGTTCTCTGGTGGCGTTGTCAGGATTTCAGTTGTTGAAATCTGTTTGTTGTGGTTATGAGTTTGTTTGTTGGTATTGGTTGTTGTTTGTCTTGATGTAGTGCGTAGTTATTGTTGCTGTTGTTTTGTTAGTTTGTTGGTGTTTCCGTTGTTGTAGTTGTCTATGCTGGCACTGTTTATAGTTGGAGCCTTTAGTGTTGCTAGTCGGCACCTTTGTCGTTGTTGGCAGGTTTGATCGTTCTTCGTGTTCGTGCAGTAGTTGGCACTTTCGTTTGTGGTTGGTGCGGATTCGCTGACAAAGTTGAAGGGCTGTGACGGAATTTCTGTGGTCATTTTTCGGTTCTTCGGCTTTCGAACACGGGCTCTTGCTATTAGTGCTATTAGCCAGACCTTTAGTCGAGCTTCACCATGTGCCAAGAGAACTAAAAACAGATTTTTTCTAGTTCTTTATCTAAAACCATTTTTGGTTTTATACTACCAATAAGTCAAGGTTGGATACTTGACTTGGGTGGAATCTTTTGAAGGATTTCATTCGATTATCGTAAATTATTCAGTTGCTCCATACACTTTTTTGTGACTCTGGGGATCGATTAGCGGCATGACAGCCGAAGAGACGATTAAAGGTTGTTAAAAGGGAGAAAATCGTACTGTATTTTTATTGGGTTTTAAGGTAATTATTGGGTTGGTGAATTGAAAACTGCCGGACTGTGAACTAATATTTGTTTAACATAAAACCATAAATTCATTCCAAATAATTTCCCCCATTATTGAGGACTTCTGCCCATTTTACAGGCAATTTATGGATTCCTCTTTCGTGGTAGGATTTTGGTTTTGTGTGTGAGACAAGTGTGAGACTCAAAAATCGAGGACTGGAAGTGTCCCAGTTTGAGCATTTGAGCACTTTCTTCAAAAAAGAAACCCATTTTGGTAATCAATAGAAAAGTTATGAGAATCAAAAATTAGGCTTATAGCCAAATTTCCAAAGATACACTTGAAGTAGTTTCGCTTAAAATGTAGAAAATTGTGAGAAAATTCGTAAATTTCGCATTTCTTGAAAACCAGTTTTGAATCGTTCTGAATTTGGATATAAGCTTGATTTTTGATTCTCTGCAGCTTTTCCCCCGCTATTAAAATGAGTTTCTTTGAGAAAAAGATGTAAACATCACATATGACAATAGTCCGCAGTTTTCAATTCACCAACCCAATAGAATACTCTAACAGTGAGAATACAATGCACTCGTGAATAAACACAGAATCAGAGCAAAAGTAGATAACTAGGATGACTAGAAACTAGAGTATGGTCACTTTTTGAAATTTGATACGGTTTAGAAAAGCTTACTTACTGGCGAACAGAGTTTATGTCAAAGTTTGTCATTTCTGCGAATGCGATTAGTGAATGAAAATTAGTGAATAAAAATCAAAAAATACTTCCTGATAAAGAAGCCACTAAATTAAAATGCATTCGAATGCTCGTAAAAGTCTAAATGAAAAATAGAACAAAGACAAGTTAGATCATATTGTCATTTTGTTGATTTTCTGATTGTAAGCATGTCTTGGTTATCTGTTTCTAGCTCTTTAAACTATTAGCAAAGTTTTCTTCAATATCACGAATCATTTTGAGCTCAAAATGTATTGAATTTGTTTTAATGCTCTATTTTGAACTTTTCCTGTCTGCGGGTGATTTATTCAAAAAAAAATCTGTTAAAAGCACCAAAAACTTTTACTTTTAAGAAAATGAGCATCAAAATTTTGGCATTTCTTTTGGATTCATCTGAACAGTACAGGGCCCGCTCGAGGGATCGCAATCAATTAGCAGCGCGAATTAAAGAAAACTTTTGATCTTCAATCAAAGATCGATCTCGAGCGGGCCCTGGGCAGAGATTTTCAAGAAAATAGGGGGAAGAGGGCAGTGAATGGAAAGGAATTCGTGAGAAAAAGTTGAAAATTATAATTGAATAGAAATATTTAGGCACATCTTCATCATTTGGTGGATCGAAAGGATCAATTGCGGGAAAATCGGGAATATGATTGTTTTCGAAAATTTCTTCTTTAGCACTGTTCAGATCGATTTCCTAGACGTGTTTGTATTTGGTGAATAAGAGGTGGAGAAGGCGCAGAGTCGATTTCACATCACCGTTTGCGATGTCAGCAACCTGAATCGAATATCGAAATACTTTTTTAATTACACATTCGCGACGAGGTGTTTTTTTGCGTTACTTGCCCCCAGTGGAGCGAGAGATGTCTCGCAAAGCTATTAGCCCCGAAATACACCTCCTATATGTAATATGTCATGCTGAATCCGAATCTCTAATCAGATTTTGAAAAATATTGCTGCCTCAAAAAATAACGGCTCTTTTTGGCTCGTGAGACAAAACGCCGCATTTCTCTTCTTTATCTGGTATCTTAGCTTGAATTCCTTTTTATATCTCTTTCCATTATGATTTGAAATGACTGACCCGAGATCTCGGCTTGATTCCGACTTGTTCCATCAATTGATAGGCGAATTGCACGTTTTTTCATTTTCTCCTCATGAGTGGACACCTAGAATTTATAATTCAATGTAATCAAATTCAAAAGATCATTTCAAAGTAAACAATTACAGAATATAATAAATTTTTGAGTATTACCTGTAAATGGAAATGATGCAATGGAACAAAATATCCCTCTAAGAGTCCCATCATTAAAACGAGGAAAACCCCATCTTGAAATTGAGTTTCAATGTTGGAAACCTGAAAATAGAAGTCTAATTAAACAAAGTTCGATTTTTACTTTTAAATTTCACCTCCAAATTGATTTTGTTAAGATGTTTATTGCAAAAGCCAATAGAGATCCCTTGACGTGAGCCAATTTGTCCGGTCCGTAGTCGAAAAGAGTATCAAAAGCGTCTCGTTCACCCTGGAAATCACTTTAAATTCATACTTTTTTATATTATAAATATTCCTATTAGAAGTTGTCTAGCCAAATTTTCTATCTTAATTATTTAAAATTTTACCTTCAGGCACTTTGGTTTAAAAGCTTAGCTTTTAGTCTTTGTAGGCTTCAGGTGATAACCTTTAAAGTAGGGTAGACGTTAATAAGCTACATCTTGATCTTAATAACTCGTATTGTAAGCTTCTCGTCTTAATAACTTCTATTGAACTTGTTCGTGCTTTTATATTAGATTTATTTGAATAAGATATTGCAAATACCTTTGGGCAAAGTTCTTCTTGTTTCTCGGTGAGAATCTTCCTTGCGGTAACGCTTTTCACCTGACCATTTTCCTTGCGAGCGAGCAGGATCTGAAAAGTTTTTAAATAAAACATAGAGTTCTTTAGATTTTCATGATGTATATCATTAGTTTTAAATAGATAAATAAATAAATTCACAATCAACTATTCACTTAGATCTTTAGATTCTTTCTGTATTGTTTACCTGAGCATTGACGTGCTCTGGGAAACGAACGGGTGCTCGGAAATGAACAGCCAATGAAACCAAGAGTTGAATGATTGCCACGATGTCCTAAAGTTTTGAAAATTTTGATTTAATATTTGGAAAATTTACTTTGGTTATATTGTTCAAAATATATTGTATATTTTAGACAATATATTGTACATATTGTTCCAAAATATTCAGTACTTACATAAGAAATGCGGATTTCAACATTTCAACATTTTCATAGAATTTCCAACGATAGAAACCTGATGTTATAAACTAGAATCAATGAATGTTAAAAACTATTTGAAAGTTGTAAATCTCCTCTACAAAATAGGCTAAAAAGGTGTTTCAATTGATCGAAGTATTGAAGAAATTTCGAGGGCGAAATGCGAGTGACCGAAAAAAGGAATCGAGCCACTTTAGGGACAAGTTTAGTGTGCTCAAAATAGAGTTAGCTTCCCAGAATTGAAGATTTAAAAAAAGAAAGGATAACTATATATGAATGAAAAAAGTTTTCCCATGAAATGATCCGAACTCTTAATTATTTTGAATGATATTTGAATGCTTTTGAATGAAGGGCGGTCACTTTTAGCCAAAACCGAAGCTAACTCTATTTTGAGCACACTAACTTGTCCCTAAAGTGGCTCGATTCCTTTTTCGGTCACTCGCATTTCGCCTTCGAAATTTCTTCAATGCTTCGATCAAGGAAACACCTTTTGCCTATTTTGTAGAGGAGATTTACAACTTTCAAATAGCTTTTAACATTCATCGATTCTTGTTTTATAACATCAGGTTTCTATCGTTGGTTCAAGCCTCATCAGGGTTTCAACATGAAAATGTTGAAATGTTGAAATCCGCATTTCTTATGCTGTACCTAATAGTTTAATTCTTATAATTTTCAAGTGACGGAGCAATGATGAGCCTTTTCTTTCAATTTCTTCTTTTACAGTACTTGATAGATGTCTAATCGGCACTAAACCTTTGATGAATCATTTCAGAGTCCATTGAGCGTTTTCATACTGTCCGGGGTTAAAATTCGATTCGCTGTCGAGACAACAATGTCCAATTTCTGTCGTTGTCCCTCCTCGGATTGAGAAACCTCCAGGCACTTCGATCTGAAATTGGCTCACTGTCTTCAAGTTGATCTGCTTGTCTACCCGAATCCCAGCGAGCTTCTCAATAAGCTTTTGCAAGACTTGACCGTCATAGAGATCATCTTGAATGTTCTTCACAACAATTCTCTCCTCAGCCACCTCGTCATTGATCCAACTAAAGGTTAAAACGTTTCTTAACTTATAAACATGATCTTATAGTTTGAAAAATAAGAAGTCAATCAAATTTCTTGATCAAATTACTAACCCAAGAAGCAGACGAACGACCTCGTGAACCCGAGGATCGTCGCTGGATTCTCTCGTCAAGAAGCGACGCTCAGTTCCTGAAAAAAGGAATAAACTTTGTACTTTCTTATTATACCATGTCATTATCAATCCTTCTCGTAAAATTTCCATTTTGATTTTTACTTTATTGATTTGAAAACAAATTGAAGATGGATATAAGAAAGGAATTTGCAAGCAATTGCAAGAGAAAGGCAACATTAGGATTTGACTAAATGAAGCCCATAGATGATTCAATCTCACACTGATAGCCAATCTCACACTGATTCCGAATCTGCTTTCCGTTTTTCCAAAATCATTTTCTATAAGAAGTTATATGTGTTTTAAGTTTTAAGGTGAAAATGCGAATTTTAAGCGGATGCCTTTATGATGGTTTTCTCACAGGCCTCGAACGGGGCTCGATGGTGTAGTGGGTTAAAAGTTTGCATACTTAACGACCGCAACTGTTTTTGCTCGAGTTCGATTCCTTTTCGCAATACTTTTGTTTAGTGTTTTGATGTTTTAACACCTGACTAGGGAAGACCGTCCACTCAAGGTGAAATTTCAGAACGATGGGGAATCCAAAGCTTTTCATGGGGAATCTAATGCTGCTTTTAGTTTTTCCTAAATAGCAATGCAAGTTATTTAGCAAAAAACGTTTTTGGCATTTCTATTTGAGGCGCGCACACTAACACACTAACTTTGCTTTACAGATGCCGTGGTGGCCTAATGGATAAGAGATTTGTCTCTAAAACAAGCTATTCCTTTTCGTCAAACGTTTGTTTAGCGTTTTGATGTTTTAACATCTGAATTTTATCTGCCTTTAAAACTATTATGTTTATAGTATTTTATTTTTTAAAAACTATGAAATTAGCATTGAAAAAAAGCCGATTGTTGCCTCCGAAACCTCAGAAATATCCGACTGTTGACTTTTCTTCAAAATTCACTCAAAGAAATTCTTGATCTCGGGCTTCTTGGCATAAATTTGACAAGATAAGAAGCGAAATAGGCTCTGGCTAATAGCACTAATAGCAAGAGCTCTGGCTAATAGCAATAATAGCAAGAGTTCGTGTCTCGAAAGCCGAAGAACCGAAAACGACCACAGAAATTTCCACAGCCTCGCCAACTTTGTCTAGCGAATCCACGCCAACCACAACAAAAGTGCCAACTACTGCACGAACACGAAGAACGATCGAACCGCCAACAACGACAATTCACACAATGCCAAAAATAATAGAAAATTGCTTTTTTTGTGATGTAGAAATCAAAAATGGTATGCAAAAGTGCCGTAGATTTTAAAATACAAATTTTAACAACTACAACTGGCATAACAGAGCACCCTAAACTTCTTTTGTCATGAAAAAACATTAAATAGCATACCCTTAGGGAATTTATCTCTTATTTATCTTTCAGATTTTAACTTCAAACCTTCAGCAATCTCAATCTTCTTCGAAACGGCTGGAATCAACGCGTAGTCGAGCGCCTCACGTCCATCGTGATCAAGCTGAAAAATCGAGTTGAAAGCTGTATTTGAATTTGAATTTGAATTTGGATTTGAATTGCAAGTAAACCTTGAAAGCTAAGTTTAAAAGATAGAACAAAAAAAAAGAAATTCAATTTGAAAATAGTCGCTTACACCATTGTAAATAGTCGCTTACACGCTTACAGTCGCTTACACGCTTATACGCTTATACGCTTACAGTCGCTTACACGCTTACACCCGCTTACACCAAAGCTGGAGCAGCTTGCTATAAAAAAAACCCAAACTTGAAACAAACTATTGGACAATTCTCTTGCACAAACTTAAAACTCTGAATATCAACGTTGGCGCTTTAAAGTACAATCCCCGGCTACCGTAATCCTAAGCTAATGCTTGCCAAACTTGCACTAGCTCTGGTTACGCTAGCCCAAGCAAGCTTTAGACCCGAGTCGACTTTCGGAAAGTTTGTGAAAGGATGAAAAATTGACAACTGGTTTTTTTCAAAATATAAATAGCTTTATCAATTTTGAACTGATTCTCTCACCAACCTGGTTAACTTCTTTCCCTTCTTGTTCTTGTGGATCTTGTGGTTTCCCCGGCGCATCTCCCGCCTCTTTTCCATCTTTTTTCTTTCGTGACAAAGTTCCCGAAAGCTTGTCCATAAACGATTCGCTCTGAAAGTAAATCTTTTAAAATTATATAAATTTTGAATAAAATAATATCAAGATACGATCTGGTTCTAAATCTGAATCTGGTTCTGGCTCTAGCTCTGGTTCTAGCTCTGGTTCTGGATCTGGTTCTGAATCTGGTTCTGAATCTGGCTCTGGATCTGGTTCTGGCTTCCACTAGTTGATTCTGGACTTGAATCTAGCCCTGGGATTTGCCTGGATTTAGATCTTTTCCTAGCCCTGTGACCTGGCCCTAGCCCTGGCCCCCTAGGCAATGCTTCCAACTCTGGGGCTTAACTTGTTTTGAAAACCCCCACTAGCCAGCCCTGTCGACTTTTCTACTAGATCTCTGAACCTGAGGTGATATTTTTTCATGGTCAAGATACGATTTTTGAGTAAATCTGAAAAGAATCTGAAGAAGTTGAGTATTACAGAAGTTCAAGATCATTTGAATTATTCGCTGAGATTTGCCATTTTACCGTATTTTCTCTAATCCTAGTGCATCCCGACGAGCCGAGTTGGTGACTATTTTACGGTTTCCAAGTTTTTGCAGAAGCTCAACACTCAAATCCCCCCCAAGATCTCATCGTCAGCTACCTTCTCCAATCCCACATCGATAGGTTTTGATAAGTGCTTTTCGAGATTTCGAGGAATTTAGGCGACGCTCAGGGTGCACTACTATTAGAGAAAAGACAGTAGTTATCTTTAGATATTTTGCTTTAGATCTTAAGTCTTTAGATCCTTCGTCTTTAGATCTTTAGCCTTTAGATCTTTAGATATTTTAGATAATCTGTAATACTTCTACAAATAGCTAACTTTAGATATTAGTATTTTATCTTTTTATCGATTTGTTCTTAACAATTAAAACAATCTTTTTCCTATAGCTCACCTTTTTCGAGCGCATCGTGTCGGTTTGTCGAGTCTCTTGCCGAGTCTCTTGCCGACGAATCTCTTGTGCAGCCATCCCACTTTGAATCATTTTTGAGATGACTAGGGAAAAAAATTGTTAAAAGTAGCTATAGAATTTATAAAACGAAAGCTCTGATTCAAAAAACTCTGAAATAATAACGAAAATGGGTAAAGAAATCTTGTCAAACAAACTAGAAAGGCAGTGGAAAATTTTAAACGATACAAGTGAGTTATAAAACTATCTGATAAGAGTCAATTTTATGCAGAAAACTTTAAGACAACAAAAAATGAACTTTTATTTGTAAAATGTTCAAGAAAAAGATTAACAAAAGCCAAGCAAAGCAAAGCAAAGCCAAGCAAAGCAATTTTTAACATAGAAACAATAGATTTAGTCCAAAAGTTTGTACTTTGAAAATGAATTTATTTAAATGTAAATAAAAAGACGAAAATTGTAGTTAAAAGAAGAATTCTTTTGGGGCATTCGTTGTGCATTTTACAGCGTTTCTCCGCCCGCTGGCTCCCCAGCAAAAAAAGAGATTAAGAAAATAGAAGAGAACGTGGAGAAATGAGAAAAGAAAGGGGGAAAGGAAAGGGAATTCTTGATCGATATTCAGTCACAACAAATGACTCACAGAGATTTGAGAGAAAGAGAAAGAGAAAGAGAAAGAGAGAAAGAGAAGGATGCCAAATAAACATATTGTGTTGAATTTAAAGAAATACAGTGGTTGGAATATCACTCCTTTTAGCTAAAGCGTTTTCTAAGTCAAGCTAGAATCTCACAATCAATAAAAGAGGATTTTTGAGTTTGCGGCAAAGTAATGACAAGAGGTAAAACTCTTCTGGACTTCGAGAAAGAACAGATCGAAGGATACACTACGATCAGTTGATACACAGTTGATCAGGGTCTCTCGAATTTACTAAAAGTCGCTCCACTGCGAGGCAGAAATGGGCTTTCTTTGAAATTATCAAAATCCAACTCCTCATTTAACACTGCCTTGTATTTTTACTCAAATCGTTTTTCTAAATTGTGGCATAACCTTTAAACTCCGAATTCTTGGCATCTTTCCCTCGTTTTAAGAAATGAAATTGATTTAGTATCTTTTGCCTAAGTGCACTATTCCTATACCTTATCGTATTCTCATAAAATTCTAGTTTTTTTAATCTTTTTCTTTAAAGAATTTTCATTTTTCATTTTTATCATTTTTATACTTTCTTTTTTTCTTTTGTATGTCTACACTTTTTCGAGTTCCTCTTGAATAAAGTAATTGGCATTTGTTGGTTATACATCCACAAAGACTCATCTCGGTGAAGCATCCCCATCCGAGTCTTCTCGGTTATCGATTCTCGTTCAACTGATCGACTGATCACTTCAGACGAGCACTCTACTTCACTTCATTGAACATAATCACCCCTTACAAGTTCACAGCTTCTTGCTTAACCGAGTTGAGTCTGTGGATTCTCTGTGGATGTAAAACCGACATGTACCCAAATTAGATTTTCGCTTGATATAATTCAAATTTTGGTACTTGTCAGTTTGTCGGTTTGTCGGTTTGTCGGTTATACATCCACAAAGACTCATCTCTTTGAAGCATCCCCATCCGAGTCTTCTCGGTTATCGATTCTCGTTCAACTGATCGACTGATCACTTCAGATGAGCACTCTACTTCACTTCATTGAACATAATCACCCCTCACAAGTTGTCAGCTTCTGCTTGCTTAACCGTTTTGAGTCTCTGTGGATGTATAACAGACAAGTACCAAGTAATTATATATCTCATCATCCAATCGTTTGAAAGAAAAGTCTTGTACTTGTTACCACTTTTGCATTTCATAACCAACAATTGCACATCCCATTTTGCATCTATCATTTTTAGAGTCAATTGAGAGCTACAACTCTCACAGCTCCACGACAGATACACTACTGGACAATGAAATATCATATTCGAAAAAATATCGTCACTTTCGCGCGTCTGTAACTCCCTTGTCTTTACCGCATTTCTAAATATTAATATTATCATTGTGTAGCCATTGAAAAGAGCTTTTAGAAAATGTTTAACACTAATAGTTTAAACTCAAAGACAAGCGAGTTACAGACGCGCGAAAGTGACGATCGTTTTTCAAATATCATATTTCATTGTCCAGTACTGTACCTATCAAGTATTTAAAACTCGTTTTTGCTATACAGAAGCAAGTAAACAAGTTGCTCAATGTTCGGTGCCTAATTTGCCCATCGAATGATCTCGTACCCGTCCTTTCTCCATCTTTTTGTTTATCTTCATCTAGTGCTGCTCTTTTTTCGTGCCAAAACAAGCGAAATTCAATCGCTTCCAAACACAGAGTATAGCAAAATGCAAAAAAAAAGAATCTTTTTGAGTGTCAAATTTCGCAAAAAAAACGCATGAATACATATTACTGGGCTAAAATTGGAATAAGGGACCAATTGAAAACGCAAAGTTGTATGCTAATTTGAAATTTGAATGGAAATTTGAAGAAATTTGAAGAAATTATTTATTTCTTAGATTATTCAAGATATTTAGGTAAATATCTAACTACAATAAAAGCTAAAGATAACAAGAATCTTTGTGAAAATCCACTTTTCGCATCTTCAAGCGGAGAAAACTCGGCCCATCGATCGACGAACTAAATTTTAATTGTTATAAGACACAAAGTTTGTGTTTGTTTATCTATTCAGTTATAATTCAAATCCCAGTAGAGGTTTTGATATAATTTTTGAGGATAATATGTAATCGATTACGGCAGTTCAGCCTGTCAAGTTAGAATTAGAAAAATCTCTAAACGTTTTTGAGTAAAGTTGAAAAAATTGAATTTGGCGGTGAGATCAAAGTCTAGAGGCTTGGCTTAGCCTTTATTTTAAGGAATTTTATGGTTTATGGTTGCTTCAACAAAAAGAACTTTGGCTTTGATCAAATAGCTTTGATCGAGTAGCTTTGGTCGAAAAGCTTTGATCCACTAGCTTTGATTGAAGAGCTTTGATCGAATAGCTTTGATCCACTAGCTTTAATCGAATAGCTTTGATCGAAAAGCTTTGATCGACTAAAAGAGTTGATCAAAGTTTATCGTGCAATTCATTTTACTGCACAAGATTTGCATTTCAAAAAACTTTCTACACAAAATTTGCTTCTGTTTTACCTCTTCAGAGCTATAGTTGGACTTTCCATTTTCCCCGGTCCACATGAAATTCACAATGAATTGCCGCGCCGGTCCGGGTCGATCTGTTGAAGGGAAATGACCGGCACCCTGAAAATTTCTCTGTCATCTGCAGAAAAGTTTCTAACAAACCTTTACAGTCATCAAATCGAAAATCACTCCACTTTTCGCCGTGTACGTCTGAATGTAGCCGGCTGTTTGTTCAGAGAAATACCAATATTTGCGTTTACTTGTCTGAAACAACAAACAATACCGAACTGATGAGAGCTCTGGAAGAAAAACCTGGAGCCAGATCCAGATCTAGGCCAGATCCAGATCTAGGCCAGATCCAGATCTAGGCCAGATCCAGATCTAGGCCAGATCCAGATCTAGGCCAGATCCAGATCTAGGCCAGATCCAGATCTAGGCCAGATCCAGATCTAGGCCAGATCCAGATCTAGGCCAGATCCAGATCTAGGCCAGATCCAGATCTAGGCCAGATCCAGATCTAGGCCAGATCCAGATCTAGGCCAGATCCAGATCTAGGCCAGATCCAGATCTAGGCCAGATCCAGATCTAGGCCAGATCCAGATCTAGGCCAGATCCAGATCTAGGCCAGATCCAGATCTAGGCCAGATCCAGATCTAGGCCAGATCCAGATCTAGGCCAGATCTAGGATTTACTTCAAGCTTGAAAACCATAAAAGGTACCCAAACCTGTCAGAAGCCAGGTCTAAACCTAGCTTCTAACTCTCAGCTTCCTAGCCTTGTCTTTCTTTCTACATAGAATTTTGTAAAGCATCTCTACCGGGCAAGGCATGGATCAGAACAGAAGCCAAGCCAGGATTTGGGTTTGGCTTTACTTCAAGCCCAACCCTTTAGGTAAACTAGAAGAAGAGCCTTTAAGAAGACTTAGATTAGCCAGGGCTTAGCCAGACCC